TAATTATTAAGAAATCTATTTAACAATATGTCTTCCTTTTGGTAAAAGATTTATACAGTGTCTGTTCGTATTATCTTACAAAGTTGAATAGTTGAATATTCTTTTTTTTTTTTTTTGGTGGGGGTACTGGGGATTGAAACCAGGAGCACTTGACCATTGAGCCATATCCCTAGCCCTATTTTGTATTTTATTTAGAGACAGGGTCTCACTGAGTTGCTTAGCACCTCACTTTTGCTGAGGCTGGCTTTGAACTCGCTATCCTCCTGTCTCAGTCTCCCAAGCAGCTGGGATTATAGGTGTGTGCCCCTGTGCCCGGTGAATATTCTTAATTTTTTTTCATAACATTGAACTGTTGACTTCAGTATATGCATCTGTACTTATTATAGGTACATATGCATAGTTTTCCTATGAGACATATACTAATAATCAGATATTTAGTAAAGATTGCTTTCTGGCTACTAGTGTTGTAAGATTATGGATAGGATACATACTAAGAAGTATTAACACAACTTTGAATTTCTTCATTCAAACTTGGTATGTGTCATGGAAGTTGACAGTGAGCAAGCAGCTAGGTCATTCTGCAGGGTTTGAGGTTTCAGAATGGTACCCTGATATTTACCCAAAACTCCCACAAACCAACAGCAAAGAAGTACTTGTTATCGTCACTCTCTCTTACAAATTCTTGGGTGTAAATGTTCTGAAAATCAACAATGCATTTTAGGTAGTAGGTGAGACATAATTAAGACTATCTCACATTGCATTCAAATACTGCTCTGAGAGAAAATAGGTTAAACATAGGCAGCAGTTCCTTGCTTCCTTCACACTGCTGGAGGTGGAACCCAGGGCATTTTCTTTTTTAGATGCCAAAACCTGGGAACTAGCAAACCCTTCCTTTGTTAAAACACCTTCCCTCTCTCACCAAACATACATACACTTATATGTATGTATGGCCCCAGGGTAGAGTGGGGTTGGTGGGCTTTCATGCAAATTCAGATTAAAGGGGCTGGGGCTGTAGCTCAGAGGCAGAGCACTTGCCTGGCACATGTGAGGCATTGGGTTTGAGGCTTATCACCACATAAAAATAAACAAATAAAATAAAGGCATGCTGTCCTTCTATAACTACAAAAAATTAAAATAAATAGGTAAATACAGATTACAATATACTTCTATCATCTCTATACTGGAGCCATAAGATTCCATTTGAAGGATGGAATAATGTTGATGTTCTTTTATGCTAGCTAAAATAGTACATTACTTGGTATACCAACTCTAGTAGCTCCCATGCAAACTATAAGAATCTTATGGGAATCATTGATTCTTCCCTTAGGATAAAATAACCTAGAAAAGTCTAATTACAAGATTGTCAATTACATAAAATGGAACCCAAGATTTTTGGTAATGTTAGAAAATATTGATGTAAAAATGGTGCAACCATTATGTAAAGCAGTATGGAGATTCCTCAGAAAACTTGGAATGGGACCACCATTTGACTCACCTATCCCACTCCTCGGTTTATAGTCACAGGACTTAAAATCAGCATACTACAGTGATGCAGCTACATCAATGTTTATAGCAGCTCAATTCACAATAGCCAAACTACTGAACCAAACTAGATGCTCTTCAACAGAAAAATGGAAAAACAAAATATAGTATACACAATGGAATATTATTCAGCCTTAAAGAAGAATGAAATTATGCATTTCCAGGTAAATGGGTGGAGCTGGAGAATATCATGCTAAGCAAATAAGCCAATCCCAAAAAAACAAAGGCTGAATATTTTTTCTGATATATGGATGCTAATTTAAAATAAGTGGGGTAGGGAAGAATAGAGATACTTTGGATTTGGCAGAACGGACTGAAGGGAGGGGAGGGAGTATGGGGATAAGAAGGTTAGAAGAATGAATTGGACATTATTACCCTATGTGCATATACGACTATGCGACTGGTATAATTCCACATCATACGACCAGAAGAATGAGAAATTATACTCCATTTATGGATGATATGTCAAAATGTATTCTACTGTCATGTATAACTAATTAGAACAAATAAATAAATTCCATATACAGTCTATTACAAAAAGAAACTTTAAGCCATTTTTTAAAACGAAGGGGGTGTGTTCAATCTTAAAATGAAACCATTAAATGTCTACCCAACTAGCTGGCAAATAAAAAACGCTACACCAGAGGAACAACTTTAAAAAGGAATGAAGAGAGAAAGGGAGGGAGAGAAAAGGAAGAAGGGGGGGGGAAAGGAAGAATGGAAGGAAGGTGGAAGAAATGAAAGAAGAGGAAAGGAAAAAAAAACAATTTATGTGAATCCCACAGAGAGAAGCAGCTCAGGAGCAAACTAGAAATTGGGTGACAAAAATTAGAGCATCTATAAGTGAACCAGTGATAAAGATGAAAATGAAATAATAGATATACCAAATGACTTTTATAAAATAATGAGCCATTCGTATAACTAATATGCCATTTGAGGTAGGCAGATGGGTCAGACTCCATTTCCAAGACACATATTGAAAGGAGTCAAAAGCATAATTTGGAACAGAGTGAGATAATTACCAGACCTGGTAAAACTAGTTGGCAAAGATGGTTTTGTTTTGTTTGTATCACTTTTCCTCTAGTGCTCCACTACCTATTCCCTGCTCTTCTGAATACTCAAGGAGTTCGTGCTCTAACCCTTTGCAAATTGGCTATCTGTGAAATAATACGCCTATGGCAATGTGGCGGTGAGGAAGCTATGTTGGGCCAAGTTTTCATTTTAAGGTCTATTTCTAACTGTAGAAACAATGTCTGTTTCCTGTTAAAGGAATTTCAGGTATTAGTCCAACAGATGGGAGGGATGTTTGGACCAGGAAGCCTTCCTGGCACCCCTGGAATCAGAGGTGACTTCACATCATGCCCTGACCAGACTTAACTTCTGAAGGAAATCAAAGGAAACAATTATTGTACCTCTAATGAAAACCTGGAACCTGTTATTCTGGGTGATCACTGTGTGAATTGCCGGTGTGACTCTGCAGGCAAAAGGGCCTTGGGATCTATAAACTGATGAGTGTCTGGTTCTCTAGTAGGCAAACTGGAAGAATCTTTAATAAATGCTAGCCTCTTGGACACAAAAGCCACCAATCTACTGGGATGCGGGTGGCAAAAGGGTTTCTGTAAAGGGAAATCATGTATAATCTTTTTCCAGATCTTTTCTTTGGGGCTAAATTTACTTTTAAAATGCTTCTAATTAAGTTTGATACTAAGACTATTTTTAAACATGAATTACCATGGGATTTAAATTTTTTAATCATGTAGTAGAAAATGGTGTATCTAAAAAAAAAACTATAGGAAAGAAACAGACTTTTTTTGACTGAAGGAGGAGAACTAGTAGACTTGGGGGGTGGGTACTGGGAAATCCTCAAGTATGCAGATAACATTCAGCTTTTGCTGGCAGTGAAATGCCAAGCTGATTGGGGAGAAAGGAAGATCTCAGGAGGCTTTATGATTGGCAGATGAGCTTGAATAGGGGCACATGTAAGGTGATATATTTAGGGAGGGCTGATATTACAAATTATACTTGCAGGATGATGGGTGGTGACCTTTCAATTAAGACCCAGGAAAGAGCTCTAGGAAACCCTGTGGACAGTGCACTACAGAGAACAATGTAGCTTCCAGCTATGCCAAAGGTGGGGGGGGGCAACAAGATGTTGGGCACTGTTAATAAGGGGATTAAAAGACAAACAAAATAATTCTCCTTTTACACAGAACCACAGGACATCTTCTTTGGTCAAGTTACATAAGCAGCTCTGATCTGTACATCTCAAGGACAGGACAGAGCCTAAGGGGAACAAAGAAGGGCAATTAAACCATCAATGGCAGGCTCAAAACAAAACAAGTCCAAAAAAAGTTGTTTTTCTTTCTTTTTTTTTTCAGTCTGATAATACAGAGGTAGCCAGGGGACATGATCAAAATCATGAAGAAGCTAGTACTGCTGAATGACTGAGTGATGCGTTGGCTGGCCAAATCTCTGGAGCAAAGAGGTACTTTTGAAGCATAAAGTTTTTATTTTTTAATAGTTCTACTTTGTTTATACAATTGCCAGTGATGACGGCCAATGCAGGCCGGCTCCTTTGGGAAGTCCCTGTTTTCCACCAGAGGTTGGGAGAAATGTGAGCTGAGGGGGTGGGGGGATCAAGAGTACCTCAATCCCCACTGCTTACCTTCAGAATTGTTGACTGGCTCACTTCCAGCCAGACTCACTCTCTCTGTTGCCATTGTCAGCAGTGAATTTGTGCCTGACCAATCTCAATTTTTATGAATACGAGTTTAGTTTCTCCCTTTTTCCTTTCCATAGGACTTGTCAACTCCAGAGGTCTACACACTAAACTGTCCACCGATAACTATCTGTAATTTAATCCTTAACTATAAGGGAAAAGAACAGAGTTCTGAGCCGGGGGAATAGCTCAGTGAGAGAGCATATGGTTAGCATGCACAAAGCTCTGTGTTTGATACCCGGCACTACAAATACACACACAAATTTCTTATACTAATTTTAACAGATAGAACTCAAGAATGCACAATGAAGAATTATAGAGGGGATTATAGAATTGTAGAGAGAAGAAGCAGAGGTTTCCATAAGAGAAAATAGAGATGTACACTGCCAAGCTAATGAAATCACACACACACAGGTTTCTTTAGCTGAGGAAGTAGTAGAAAAAGGATTCCCAGGGACAGCTTACAAGTTTTTCTTTTTCTTAATCATACCAGGAAGCAGGTAATATCAAAGCTGGAGGAAGGCTCTGATCCAATCACTTGGCCATCCCTAACAGGAGATGGCTACCCGATTAAATAAGCATAAGAAACAGTGTCTAAAAGCTATGTGGACATACAATGTTTTTCTCTTTCAAACTGTTGCTTGAAAAAAAAAAAAAAAAAGAATTGTGCCAGATGAGGGACCATTTCATTCTATAGAAATGCAATCCTCTTGCTCCTGGCTCGATGGTTCTGTAATACCTCTCACAGATGTGGTAGTACTTCTCATCCTGTATGCCATCCTGAAGGGGCACATTTACACTATAGTACCGTCCTTTCCCTAGGCCGACATCAGATACATCACCTGTTCCTGTAACAGAGAAGAACACTGTGTTCAGTTATTAGAAACATGTGAACTAGAAAACTTGAAGGATTGTCTGACAGGAATTTAGAAGGCCAAAACAGTCAGTTAGCAGAACAATTCTGAATTAGTAATCATTTTCTAAGGGAATGAAATTATGAAAAATAATATACAGTAGGAACAAGGATAAATAATGTTGGGGAAGCCAGGAAACTGAAAAACCTTCATTTCCATCGTACTGGATGAAATAAAAATTAAGATATTAACTCCTTTGCTTGACTCTTTGTGCTTTTGAGGTTGACATAATATCACTGTGTCACTGCAATTATCAGGATGTTAGGAATTACTTGTGGTATCTGATAGTACAGGAAGTTTAACTGATCTGCCTATTAACAGTCCATAAAAATCATCTGGAAGAAGAAACCGTGTTATTGTCATTCCTCTTATCATTGTCACCTGAAATGACCTGTGTTGAAATTTTGTGTAGAATAGCCTCCATAACATAGTAACAGGATGGAGCTATACAAATATAAGATATAGGGATGTACAGAACAATTGCAGTATCTATTCATCAAAAGTACAGGGAGCACATAAGTCACTTGCCTGGGAAAAATCCTGGGGAGAATTTGTGCAGGGACACAGTCATGACTTTGGAGGTGAAACTGAAGGCATCTTCTACACCTACCAGAGAAAGAAATGTCAGAAGAATCACTTCATATATAGAACTTCTGTTTCTGATACCTAAAAATCTAGAAAGCAGTTGTGGGAAGAAGGGGAGAAAGGAAGGTGGCAATAACAAAACTAACAAGCCAAGGAATAAAAGTGACAAACCCCTGGTCTCTGATCTTTGTAATTACAGATGAGGTAGAACTTTGGCCTTAAGTGAAGATTGGGGGTACCCTTTCAAATTAATGGCAAACTATAACTGGACTTCTTCTTTCAAAGCAACAGGATGCCTGGGCTTTCTCTGACATGTGTTCTAAAATGTGGGGAAGGGAATGAGCCCAGAATTAAGACACTATCAACAGAATTGAACAGAGGACACTGGCATCAACTTTGAAGTTTTATGTTCTATTTTCTTTTCAAAGAAGTATTATGTGATAATCCCTTAAAAAATACAACCAATACAAACATTAGGCATTACATGGTGAAAGCCTAATTATAAAGTACCTCTTTATAATGCATATTTGGTTATATATGCAGGTTTCTCAAAATCCTGTGTGTACTAACTAACTTATAGTACATCCTTCTAGCTAAAACTTGGAAAGCTGAAAATAGTCATGGTCTTGTTCCTTAATAGCAGCTTTATAACAGAATTTTAAAGCCTAGAGAAACATGGGGGAGAGACTTTTATAGAAAGGGGTCTCCTTTCCATTTAAACAGGGTCAGAAAATGATTGGATGCCTGGGAGTTAAAAGCTGGGATTTAAAGTAATTCTCAGAAGCCACTTCTTGTCCAATAACCATGCTACCCATTTCTACACTTTTCCTCTCAGAATCATATACTGTCATACTATGGTTCATATAATCAGTCTGTAAAGTTCAAGGATTATTAGCAAATTTGGGTACTATCCTCCTTTATATTTCAAACAAAGATATTGTCTCAGTGTTTACTTAATGTATTCAGTCTTCATTAGAAGCCAACAGAGACCTTAAAAAAATATTAACTCTATTTGTATATAACAGGTATGTTTGAATTTCCCAAGCTTATGTTTTGCCCTAGGGAGGCAGTTAAAATCAGTTAAGGGCTCCAGGCAGAAAGTATGAAGTAAACAAAATAAAACAAGATAAATGAAAATAGCATTTCAATTTAGAAACAAGGATAGTTCATGAAAATTCTGATTATTCATCCATCCAGAGATATATCAGCTTACTTTTCTCCTGACCATGTATATGAGTTCCTGTTTTCTCCCATGTTGACTAGCACATGACTGGCTATTATTATTCTTTTTAATCCTAGGCAGAAAGAATGGTCTTGTTCTAATTTGCATTTCTCTGAGTATTAGGGCATTGAGCACCTTTTCACATGTTTAGTAGCCATTTGTATTTCTTCTTGTAGGAAATACCATTAGGCATGGTTATAAAATCATACTTAATTTTAAAAGGACGTAATCAGATAGGTGTAGGATATGGAGTTGGTGTGAAAGAGGAGAGTGTTTAGGCAGATGAAAGGAGGTGAAGACGGGGTAGGAGTGGTTAGTGAAGCCACCACAGGATGTTAGTTATGGAATCATGGGAGATTTAAAATAAACCAAATGTGTAAGAGTTTGGGGGTGGGGCAGGGGTCACTGGAAGGGAGGTGCTGAAGAGGGGAAATAAACTGAAATGAAACACACCATAAAAGTTGGCTAAAACAGGAAACTCTAAATGGTGTAGAAATAACATTGCAAATGGAAAGAACGGTTTCAGGTGACAGTCTTATTTCATTCTTATATGGTTCAATAGAGTTGGTTCTAGTCTCGAACTCTGCTACTAATACTTTGCATTTCATAATCATTCATTCATACAACAAGTATTTTACTAAACCACTACTATATACAGATACTATTGGTTCAAGGCATTATACAAGACAGAGAGAAATAAATAATTTGATCTGTGTTGTGAAGGTACTTAAAGTTTTTATGAAGAAACAAGACACAGACATGTTAAAAAATTACCTAATAATATGAGACAACATGTAAGTACATAGCAAATCAGTGCTATAAACAGTACAGGACTTGAGAGGTGGAAGACAACCCTTGGGGTAGGGTGATCAGGGAAAATCTGCTACTGTTGAACCTTGAGCAAATGGATAGAACTTGGAGATGCAAAAAGGGAGGAGAAAGCAAAATTAAGTTAGGAAAAAAAGGGAGGCAAAGTCAGAGAAGTAGGAATAGTGAGACATGTCATGAATATTGAGACACACTCACTGAGTAAGAGTAACCTGGACAGAAAGTAGGGAGAGATAAGACTGGAAAGATGAGGTGAGGCTTGTTTGAGGTGAGCCTTGAAAGATAGGGAAAAGACTCGACTTTACTTCGAAGACTACTGTTTTTTAAAGTGTGGCCTGCACAACAACTGTAGTGCTGTTAAATTGTACATTCTTTGGATTTATATCTGACCTACTTAACCTGAATATCTAGTGAATGTGGCCCAGCAATCTTCATGATAAAACAACCTCCCATCCAGATGCACAGGTAAGGTTGAGAAACATTGTTCTAGGCCAGGGGTCAGAAAACTAAGTGAATAGTAGATAGTAAACACTGTAGGCTTTTCAAACTAATTACAATCTCTGCTAGGCACACACTTATGCATATATATGCACACATACAAATTTTATGTTTTTACAACCTCTAAAAATGGAAAAAAAATTCTTACTCTCTGACTTTACAAAAAGTAAGCCATGGGTCAAATGCTGCCCCTTATTATAAGGAATAAGGAGATTCTAAAGGTTTTTGAGCAAGGCTGTGTTTTGCAATGGCCAAGTATTCAGAAATTCAGTGACTGTAGTTCTCAAGGTAGTATGTTGGTTTTTCCAACCTCTCTCTCATCTGTTATATTTACTTTGTGTGTGGGTTTGTGTGTGTGTTTGTGTGTGTGTGTGTGTGTGTGTGTGTGTGTGTGGCACTGGGTATTGAACCACAGAGCTACATTCCCAGCCCTATTTTATTTTTTATTTTGAGACAGGGCCTCGCTAAGTTGCAGAGGCTAGCCTCCAACTTGTGATCTTCCTGCCTTAGCTTCTTAAATTGCTGGGATTACAGATGTGCACCACCATGCATGGCTCTATTACATTTACCTTTATGTCACTGGTCCATGTTTCTAGCATCCGTTTCTAGCATCTGTGCAGGAAACACTCCCTGGGGAGCTCCCCACACCACCACATTTCTTCATTCTTCTTTCTGTTTTGACAGAAAAGCTAACCCTAACCTTAGACACATACTTATGCATGATTATGTGAGTATGTCTTGTCTAAAAAATTCCCAGGAAATTAGGAAGTAGCAGTCACTAATGTTGGGGACAGGGGATATACTTAATCAATCATTTAATGGATAAGTGTTCTTAGGTGAATGGAAATACTGTGTTACAGACAGGACAACTGTCACTGTAGGTCTATGTTCTAGATAGAAAATACATAGGAGGGTTGGATAAGTCTTTTCAGTAGAGTCTTCTAAGAGGGGATTAATAGGTGAGCTCAAAGTGTTAAGAGATTCTGCTATCACAAGTTAAGGAAGATGATCTGAGTTTGTGCAGGACTTCATATTGTAGCAACGTAAAGAAAGTGGCAGCCGGGAGTGGTAGCTCATGCCTATAATCCCTACAGCTGGGAAGGCTGAGGCAGTCAGATCACAAGTTCAAAGCCAGCCTCAGCAATTTAGCAAGGCTCTAGCAACTCAGCAAGACCCTGTCTCTAAATAAAATACCAAAAGGGCTGGGGATGTGGCTCAGTGGTTAAGCACCCCTGGGGTCAATCCCTGGTACCCCCCCCCCAAAAAAAAAAAAAAAAAAAAACAGATTTTGGTCACCACAGAAGTTGGTAGTTTATTGGCGAAAAACTTAGCCTGTCTGTCCTTCATATACCTATTTTATCCTGAGAGAAGTACCATTGAGAAGAGACAAGACTGTCAGCTCTAATCACAAATTTGCCTTAGAACTGATGGAAATGGCCTGAGGGAGGTTACTGTGCACTGGAGTAAACACTAGTTAAGAGTTCCACTTCTTCCCATTCTCCACTATAAAGCTCTGCTACAGGAGGAGAGGGGAGAGGAAATGACAGGAGGCTGGCTTAGGCAGCAAAGGAGGGATTGGCGTGGGTTAGAGGAATCCACACTACTTACTTTAGAATTCTCAATTAGGAAAATTTCAATTGCAATAACCATTCCTCCTCTTACCAGTTGCCTAGAAGTAGCTTTACTGATCAAAACCTGCTGTCGTAGCAGCAAAGCATCTTTGAAACTGAAGGGCTTACCATCTCCATGGTGCAGATCCAAATCCACATAGAGAATACGGTCAAATTTCCGTCGCAATCGTAATATTCCCAGGACAGCATCATTGAGATAACAAAAACCAGATGCTTCATCTCTGCAAGAAAACAAGTTGCTAGAGCCAACAGCCAAAAAGCAATCCAAGGGAGTCTTTACAGCCAAGGATCTAACCCTTGAGATCTAGTCCCTTAAAATTCCCCCTTCTTTGAAGAAAAACAAAAATCCAGCCACAAAGATTATATAGTAAGTGGCCTAGAATGATTAGAGAATGAAGTGTTTTGGTAAATACTCAGGTTGACTGATAACATTTTCCATTCAAGATCCCAGATTTTCAAAGCATTAGAATATAATAACTATATTGAACAAAATAAAACCTTTCTCTGATGATTTAGGAATCATGTCAAAAATATGTAGTACCCCGGGCTCATTATGATGAACACTGATTTTCATTTCTAGAACTGTAAGAAAGCTAGACTCTAGAAGCAGCCTTAAAGACAATCCTGTAGGGGCTGGTGTTGTGGCTTAGTGGTAGAGTACTTGCCTGGCATGCGTGAGGCTCTGGGTTCGATCCTCAGCACTACATAAAGTAAAATGAAGACATTATGTCCACTTATAACTAAAAAATAAATATTAAAAAAGACAGTCCAGTAGAAGATGATGGAGATTAGATTTTCTGTACTGGCCCTATAACCTGGGAGTTATTTTTTTAAAATTAAAAAAAAAAATAAGTCTTGGCACTTGTTGCTCATAAAAGCTGAGTGTAGAATGTACAAATGCATAACCTCTTGGGTAGCATAACACGGTTGCCTTTCTGTAAATGTAATTATTACAATGAAAAACGAAGCAGCCTTTTCTAAAGTTTATTTTGTTTTCTTCACAAAAATTGTCCTCATTGACTTTACTAGTGTCCTTTAACTTTTTTGCTATTGTGTCACTTTATCCTCTTGTCGACATAAACGTGTTCTTTTATTACACATTTATGTGAAATAACGTGTTCTTTTATTCCACTAAGCTTGGCTGATTAGATGTAGAAGAACATTATCTTTCATCAGAATGCATTATAATTTATTTTAAGGCCTCATCCAAAATGTTTCCATTTCTTTTGCTTCCACGAACACTACAAATATTTAGCCCATTTTTGTCTAAACTCACCCTGAAGTTTTATTCAAAGCAGAATTCTGAGAGGAATAACAGTTAAAATGCATCTTTGCTTCTATGAGAAATCTTTCTAGTGCCTACACAATTCATACACTTCTTCATGAAATCTCTTTTTTTATTGCATTTCATATTCTAAACAATGCCCTGGTTCACAGGCTGAGTCAATAAGACAGTTCGATGGAGAGCAGGAAGTTGGTAAAAATATTGCTTGACACTGACTATGCTTCCTTGAGGTGAACTCAACAAGCAGCTTGACAAGGAACAGCTTGGTCTTAGGTATGCAACCAGAAAAAGAAAAAAAAAAAAAAAAACAAGCAAAGAAAAGAATTTGTCCATCCATGAATTCTCTGTAAATAAGAATTAAATATGTGACTTTGAAAGTTCTTAGATGTCAGTGCTATTTTCCAGTTATGGAAAGTTTACATTTTATAAATCTATTGTCTCAGTACACCAAGACATATAATGGATTCTTCTATTAAACATCAGTAACTTTGGGTAGATGGGACAGAACCCTGAATGGAAGGTCAAAAGAGGAGGGAGAAGGAGGAATACAAATCAGTATAGGTAATAATTGCTTCCCTCAGAGAACATACAATGAAGTTAGGGAGAATGTCATAAGTACAGAAAAAAACAAAACCAAAAACCTAACCATCCAAACAAAAAAGGCAACCGGAAATAATATAGCATATAAAGGAGAATATAGAGAACTTCTGTAGACAAACTTGGCAAAGTACACTCATGTCATTGTCAATATCGGGCTGTATTTAAGTCCCATGGTTCTAGAAAGCAGTGATGGCCAAGAAGCTCCCCACCTCTCTGTGTTCTGAGGGCTGATAATGGAGAACTGACCAGTTTGCTCTGACATATTCCAAAGTAAGACCCATCCTTTCTTATGACTCCCATAAGACTCATGGATAACTACCTTGTTTACCCTTTTCTAAAAATCTCCTGGGCCTCTTCCTTTAAGATGTTCCTAATTAATGAACATTATTCCATGACAATAGCCTGAATAACGATGATGATGTCTGTAATTCAGAAAGTCTTTTAAGTTTTTTTGTGTGAATGTGTAATATTTTCCTACCTCTGGATGATATTACCAAATTAGATTAGAAAATCTCATAAAGGAGCTCTATTCTCATTGGCTTATAGAAACAAATAAGCATTTAGAACCAAGCTTGGGCATGCCTATAATCCCAGTGACTTGGGAGGCTGAGGCAGGAGGATCGTAAATTGGAGCCAGCCTCAGCAATTTAGCAAGGCCCTAAGCAATTTAGCAAGACCCTGTTACAAAATAAAAAAAGTGCTGGGAATATAGCTCAGTGCCCCTGGGATCAATCCCCACTATGAGAAAGAGAGAGAGAGAGAGAGAGAGAGAGAGAGAGAGAGAGAGAGAGAGAGAGAGCGCCAGGTGCACACCTGTAATCCTAGTGGCTAGGGAGGCTGAGGCAGGAGGATGGCAAGTTCAAAGCCAGCCTCAGCAAAAGCAAGGTGCTTAGCAACTCAGTGAGACCCTGTCTCTAATAAAATACAAAATAGGGCTGGGGATGTGGCTCACTGGTCAAGTGCCCCTGAGTTCAATCCCTGGTACCACACCCCCCCCAATAAAAGAAAGAAAAGCATTTAGATAAAAGGAATATTGCTTAAATTCCCACAAAATAAAGAAATTGAACCTTTAAGACTTTCAAACTGCTAAAAAGAATATTCCTATAAAAACAATCTCAAATGTTTTAACAATTCAGGTTCACATAATTTAGATCAATTTTTGGCAAATAGGGCTGATTTAGTAATTTTAGTTTACTAAAACTAGCTATGTCTTTTTCTGACTTATCAGTGTTAGGTAAAATGTGCAGGTAGATTTTTGTTCTACTTAGGTATATTCTTCCTAAACACAAACAGGCTTATCGATTGAATGAACTAATGTTACTTCTATTAAATGTTCAAGTTTATGAATAAAATAAATTTGTTTAACCAAGTTGAGTCATTCTGATAATGAACTTTATTGCAATAGTAATTATGTTTTGTAGTTGATCAGCTTGAAAATAATTTACAAGATCTTTATGTAATTGAAAACTTTGAACTGATATTAAATTAAATTCATTAATGGAGAGTCATTAGACACCTAGACCATTTCTAAGTAAAAGAATGCTGAAGGCTGCAGTTGTAGCTCAGTGGTAGAGCACTTGCCTAGAACGTGTGAGGCACTGGGTTCGATCCTCAGCACCAAGTAAAAATAAATAAATAAAATAAAGGTATTGTGTCCAACTACAACTAAAAAAAAGTTTTAAAAAAACGCTAAAACATTACTACACATAATTTTAGGTTTATATGCATTTACTTCTTATTTTTACAAGGTACAGGGAGGCTATATATATTTGACTGTACTTTTTGTCACTTAGAAAAATTGTACTATAGGGCTGGTGTTGTGGCTCAGTGATAAAGCAGTTGCCTAGCATGTGTGAGGCACTGGGTTCGTTCTCAGCACCACATAAAAATTGATAAATAAATAAAGGTCCATCAACAACTAAAAATTTTTTTAAAAGTTGTACTACAAAGGATGTATATGGGTACCAAAAATTGCAGAGGATTCACAGAAACAGAATTTTATTTGTTCAGTTCAAAGCTGGCTATGGTTTGATAAGTTTATTTATAAGATTTTCAAAAACAACTTCATGGCTTGGGTTGTGGCTCAGTGGTAGAGCGCTTGCCAAGCATACATGAGGCACTGGGTTTAATCCTCAGCACCATATAAAATAAATAAATAAAATAAAGTACTGTGTCTATCTACAGCTAAAAAAATTTTTTTAAAAAAAGAATTTCAGTGGTTACTTTGGTAGCACTTATACCAAAAAGAACTCCAATATCAAATATACTGATGAAAAACTAGAGTTTTGCTCTCTGTTCAAATGGCAAAGGGTTTTCTTTTTGGATTATTTGTCTATTCTTAATGACAGGTTAGAATCGGTTTGCTTTACCTTCCAAATAATCTTCTTAGATAACAAAGATTCTGTGTTTTCCCAAGGTAATCTTTTATGGTTTACTACTTTTCCTCCCCTGCAGTGCTGGGGATGAAACCTGGGCCTCACACATGCTAGGCAAGCATTCTACCACTGAGCTACACTCCCCAGCCCTCTTCTATCATTTATGTTGACTTTGGTATGTCCTTGACTATCTAAGAAAACAAAGTCCTCTCTCTGAGAAAGGAGCTAAGGTTCTTTACAATCATCTTACTTCCTGTGTTTATCTTTAAAATCTTTTATTGTCACTTTGGTAAAACAGTGAGCCAAGTATTGCTTTTCAATAACCCATCATCCTATCTTAAGTCCCAGAGGGCCCATGGAAAAAATCACAAAGGATTTGTTCTTTCACCTTGTAAAAAAAGCTGTGCTAGCAACCATTAGTTTGGTTTGATATGCTACTATTGAGGAGTTGCACCGTAAGAGCTGTCAAATCATATGAGATGCATTGCTTTCCCTAGGTTAACTTGGTAAAATATTACTAATAGAAGTATTTCAGAAATTGTATGTTGTGTGGGAAGTTCCACAGATTCATCCATGTCCTCACTGGCTGCGACATGCTATTTGTCAGAGTCCACCGTGCTGCTTTGTTAAATATTAGACAACTGTGGTATAGTAACCCTCTCTTATCTGTGGGAGATACATTCCAAGACCCCCCAGGAGATGCCTGAAACTGCTGATAGTACCAAATCCGACATATACTTTGCTTTTTCCTATGCATAAATACCTATGATAAAACCTCATTTATACATTAGGCACAATAAGTGATTAACAACAATAATTAATAATAATAGAATAATTATAAAAATATACTGTAATAAAAATGATGTGAATGTGGTCTTGTTCTTTCTCAAAACATGTTAATGTACTGTTACTGGCCTCAGTTGGCCACAGATTACTGAATCTGGGAAATGTAAAACCAAGG